GAAATTATGGTATCATTGCTCGACCCTTGACGGATTTGACCAAAAAAGATGCTTTTATGTGGACGCCCAAAGCTGAGGAAGCTTTTCAACAACTTAAACAGGTTCTGACATCCGTACCAGTTCTCCGCTTACGACTTCACGCAATAATTCATGGTGGAATGTGATGCATCTTCCAATGGTGTGGGTGCTATCTTACTTCAACGGTGCCTTGAGACTTATTTGCATTGTTTTGCTCTTGATAAGCCTAAATCTTGGTATCCATTTCTACCTTGGGCTGAGTATTCTTTCAACACAAGCTTTCTACCAATACAACTCCTTTTCAGATTGTGTATGGGAGAGAGCCTCCATCATTGCATTCCTTTGTTCCCAGAGAAACTAAACTTGTTGATCTTGAAGAGCAGCTCTTGGCCCGTGACGAAAAGTTAAAGTTATTGCATTCCAACCTCTTGAAGGCTCAATCCCGGATGAAATCCCAAGCTGATTCCAAACACCGTGATCTGTCCTTTGACGTAGGTGATGTTGTTTTTCTACATTTACAGCCTCATCGGTAGAAGAGCTTGGCTAAATGTATCAATGAAAAGCTTTCTCCAAGGTATTTTGGTCCATATACAATTGTTCGCAAAGTTGGTCCGGTGCATCCAATATTTCATGTCTCCTTGCTTCATCCTGCTCGAGGCTATTCAGTTACTTCTTCTCCTCCACTTTTGCCACTTTCTGCTGATTTGGAATTCATGGTGGGGCCTGAAAAAGTTGTCACACCATTGGGTGAAAGAATCTGGAATTCCGACTCTGGAGTTACTCATTTAATGGCGTCAACGTCTTGTTGAAGAGGCTAGTTGGGAAGACTATGACTTGCTTGCTCATCAGTTTCCTTCCTTCCGCCTTGAGGACAAAGCGTCTTTTCAGGAAGGGTGCACTGATACGAACCCAACTCCTCTTAAGACTTATTCTAGAAGACAACGTGGAAGTTGGGATAAGGCTCTTGGGAGCATTGACCAAGTCTAACTCCTTCAGTTTTTGGGTTTAGCACACGTGGAGGATGATCCATTCAACCAAGCAGTGGAGTAGCTATTTCCTTGATTCTCTCCAGCACGTATCCACTCAGCCATTTCGCCACTTAGTTCATGTTTTCCTATTTTTTAGTTGTTTGTTACAAAGACTTTAAGGATGTTTTCTATAAATATCTATTTAGGATTAGCTTTCAGGTTATCAAATTGAATTGTGTATATTGTATCTTGGGAGTCTTGTCCTATCCATACAGACACTTGTATTGGTGGAAGCTGGTGCTAAAGATTCTAGCATTTCATTTTCAGCCAATATATTTCCTTTATTTTCCTAATATTTTTAGTCATTTCCCTTTATTATCTCCGCTCCTAACAGGTTCACATAGTACAAAAGCATAAATGGCGGAAAGGTTGTAATAGGCAATAACCATTCATGCTCAGATAAAAAACAACACCTCTTGGACACATGTTAGCCTATTCCTTGATCAAGTTTTCTTCATAAACATCACAGAAACAACACACAAATAAATCTCAACAGAGTGCACCACATGAACCAAAAGTTGAGAAAATAAAGCAGAAAATTAACAACTAAGCCTTTGAATGAGCCAACTATAAGCCTAGAAATGCCTAAAATAACTCTAATTCCTAGAGTTATCAGTATAGGTTCAATAACAGTTAAACTCAACAATGGGTTATCTCATGTTCTAGCAAATGTGAGACATATTCCAGACTTGAGAAGAAACCTAATCTCATTTGGAGCCTTAGATGATGCTGGGTATGCTTGTAAAGCAGAAGGTGGAGTCCTAAAAGTTCTAATAGGCTCTCTAGTGATTCTAAATGGATTAAAGCATCAGGGCCTTTATGTCCTTGAAGGCCAAACAGTAACAGGTGGTGCAGCTACTGCAACAAAAGATAAGGCCCAGGCAGTTCTTTAGCACAAAAGATTGGGCCATATAAGTGAGAGGGATCTACAAGAGCTCAACCAGCAAGGCCTACTTGGAAAAGAGCATATTGGACACTTACACTTCTATGAACAGTGCATCTTAGGAAAGCAACATAGGCTGAAATTTTTAGCCTCTACATTCAGGGCAAAGGCCCCCCTTGACTACATTCATGCTAACATTAATTGAAAATCAAGCTAATAAGAAAATTAAAGCTCTTAGGACTGATAATGGCATGGAATGTTGCCATGAAACCTTCACTAGATTTTTTCATGATCAAGGAATTTTAAGACATAGGACTATGAGAAAAACTCCCCAATAAAGTGAGATAGTTGAATAATAAATAGAACTTTAATAGAAAGGGTAAGGTGTATACTTTTCACTGCTGGTCTAAACAAACATTTTTGGGGTGAAGATGTTACAACAGCTTGTTATCTAATAAACATATGTCCTTGTAAACTAATTGGTTTGAAGACACCTGAGGAGTGTAGGACTGGTAAACCTCCAAATTTATCAAAATTGAGAATTTTTAGGTGTGCTGCCTATGTACACCAAAAAGAGAGAAAATTAAACCCTAGATCAATAAAATGGATTTTCTTAGGATATCATTAAGGTATTAAAGGATATAGGTTGTGTGTCAGGAATGGTCCTAGGTATAAAATAGTAGATGTTATTTTTAATGAATATGATATGCCCTGTTTAAAAGAAGAAAAAGACGATGTTGTTTCTCCCTCTCTTGATACAGGTACAAGTAGAGATCAAATCCAGCAACTTCAATTTGAGGTGGAGAACAATATTGGGCCAAAAGGTACCCTACATCAAGAAGAAACAGGGGATGAACAACAACGCCTGCTCAGGATGTTTTAAATAGAAACACTGAAACCCCAATGACCGACACACAATCCGAGGAAATAGCACCGAATGATTTGGAGGGCTACCAATTGACACGGGACAGACAAAGAAAAAATGTTAAACCCGCTCAGCGCTATGATGGAGGAAATTTAATAGAATTCGCCTTAAATGCAGTAGAAGAGCTAGTTACTACAGAACCAAAGACTTTTCATGACGCAATAACATATCTAAATGCTGGTAAATTGAGAGAAGCATTGGAAGAATAAATGAAATCTCTAAGGCAGAATAATACATGGATTTTGGTAAACAAACCAAAGAAGCAGAAGCCTGTAGATTGCAAGTGAATTTATAAGATTAAAGAAGGGATTAGCCCAACGGAGCCTAAGAGATTCAAAGCAAGGTTGGTTGCCAAAGGTTTTACATAGGTGGAGGGTGTGGACTATATAGAAATCTTCTCCCCTGTGGCAAAATATAAGACTATTAGGACCATTTTGGCTCTGGTGGCACATGAAGATTGGGAGCTTGAACAAATGGACATCAAAACAACTTTCCTACATGGAGACCTTCAAGAAACAATCTACATGAATCAGCCACCAGATTATGAAGAAAAAGGCAAAGAAAATCATGTCTGCCTCTTGAAGAAGTCACTATACGAACTAAAACAATCACCTCGTCAATGGTATAAAAGGTTTGATCAGTATGTTACAAAAGCAGGTTTTGTTATGAGTCACTATGACTCTTGCCTATACTTTAAGGGGATTGATACTAAATCCCCTGCATATCTTTTACTATATGTTGACGACATGCTTATTACAAGCAGTGATCCTAAAGTCATAAAGATGTTAAACACTTGTTAAGTTCTGAGTTTGACATGAAAGATCTAGGGGTAGCCAAGAAAATCCTAGGAATAGATATTAAAAGAGATATATTTCATAAAATTCAGCATCTATCCCAAGAAAATTATCTGAGGAAAGTGGTACAAAAATTCTCTATGGATCAGTCTAAGAGAACATCTGTACCATTGGCTGGCCATTTTAAATTTTGTGCTGATTAGTCTCCATCTACAAAGGAAAAAAACTTAAACTGGCGAAGATCCTATATGCCAGTGCAGTGGGGTCTTTAATGTACGCCATGATCTGCACTAGGCCTGGTTTGGCCTATGCAGTTAGTGTATTAACTGCTAAAGTATGTTAATACATCAATTGATTATGGTCTCATATATAAAAAGAAATCTACAATTTGGTATTAGAAGGATTTGTAGACTTTGATTTTGCAGGTGACAGGGACAGAAGAAGATCAACCTTAGCTTATATAATGACCTTAAATGGAAATTGTATAAGCTGGAAGTCTCAACTCTAGTCAGTTGTAGCACTGTCAAGTACAAAAGCTGAGTATATTGTCGGTACTGAAGGAGTCAAGGAAGCAATGTGCCTACAAGGACTATTGAAGGAGCTGAAAGTTCTTAAGGGTTCAGCTATGATCTATTCTCACAGTCAATTTGCAATTCACTTGTGCAAAAACCTAGTCTACCATGAGAAGACCAAGCATATAGATGTGAGACACCATTTCATCAGAGAGAAGGTGGAGGAAGGCGTAGTACAATTGGAAAAGATCAACACAGAAAATAATCCATCAGATATGGTAACCAAGGTGATCAACGTTGGTAAATTCCAGAAGCGTCTGGACTTACTAAACATTGGTAGGACTTGATGTTAGCTAGCGAAGTCAGAGCAGTGACATCTTCAGAGAAGTTCTAAATATTTTACAGTGTCAGTTTTCTCTGAGATTAAGGTGGAGTTTTGTGGAGTAATCTCAGGAAACGACATAAAACTGAGAAAGGAAGTGCACCAAGTGACAAGTCGTTTTTTACTAGAATATAGATGCAGCAATACAGAACGCAGCGTTTTGGTTAAAAGCTTAGTTTCTAAGGCGGTGAAGACTTCCAAGTTTAGTCAGTTCATCATCTACTTTATGTTATAAGTCTAATATGTTGCCAGGCTTGGTAATTCACGGGTATTTGGTGTACAATTCTAGAGAGAGAATTTATGGGTTTTAGAGAGAGAAAGGAGAACTTCTAGTTTTCTGGTGAGAGAAACTGTAAGCAAGGATAATAGAAAAGAATCTGGGAGAGGTTTTGTAGTTTAAATTGCTGAAAACTTTTTACTTCCAACAAGATTTACGTCTAATTAGAAGGAGAATCTACCAGCTTCTATGGCATTTCTTGCAGCAAGTCTAAAATCATTGACAATTTGAGGAATTTCATCTGTTCTTAGCCGCCTAGGAGTTGTGAATTGGGCAACATCAACATCATCAGCTTGATTTTGGGGAGTCAATGGCTTGTCCATTGAAGATATTGGAGCTTGGCCATTTGGTTGGTAACCTGTACACACCACAAGGTACTAAACCAATTAGTTCCATTGTTCTGGAATTTTGAATTCCACCTCATGCATTTGACAAGAAACCACAGAGCAATCAATAAACTCCATATAAATCATGTAACAAAGAGCGCAGGGCTATTAACCTCGTGGTCGTGGGTTCGATTCCGACGGTGGGCGTGAACAGTAAACTTTTTCTGGGTGATAAGCTAATTGGGATGCTTACAATCTTACCCGATGCCAAGTTGTGTTCTCTTTATTCAATATATATGATATGTATATGTATTATGTAACATGATAAAGAAGTCAATAACTCACTTGAATTGGACACCCTCCCCGCATGCCAAATTTGACAGAAAAATATACCACCTTTGGCATGAACAGCATCAACAATAACAATAGGTCTCCAAGCTTCAACTTGCTCTTTCCTCCATATACCAGGGGTATCCGGGTACCTATACACATGGAAAGAAAAAATAAATAGCCAAAAAATAGAAATAAAATGGAAGACATTACAAAGCTTTCAAGTTTCAACGACCATTTTATTTCTATTTGAGAATAGTACAAAATAGCATGTGGCTGGGGAACGTTGTGGTATGACCTTTGCCGAGTCAGTGGTGCCAAAACAACTCTGTAAATATTAATAAGAAAAATCATTAGAATATTTATTGAACACAAGTATTAAGCTGATACAAATCAAATTAGGAACCAGCTCCTAAACAACTCTGTAAATATTAATAAGAAAAATCATTAGAATATTTATTGAACACAAGTATTAAGCTGATACAAATCAAATTAGGAACCAGCTCCTAAACAACTCTGTAAATATTAATAAGAAAAATCATTAGAATATTTATTGAACACAAGTATTAAGCTGATACAAATCAAATTAGGAACCAGCTCCTAGGTGTCCTCGCTTTATGGAAAGATACTAGAGCAATTCTTCAAAGTATTCCTGTAATTTTATACTATTTTAAAATTATCCGTTAAGTTTTAATACTTTAAAAAGAGCCTTATAGATTATTAAAGTTTTTTTATATACTAAAAACATCCTTAATAATTACTATTTAAATATTATTTTAGTAAATAATTATTTGAAATTAAACGAAACAAATTTAAAAAAAAAATAAATAAATAAAGGAGGATTTTTCTCCAATCAGCCGCACTCTTAATTTTGTAATTAAATACATAATTAAGAGTGTGTTTAGTAGAAAAGAGACAGAAAGAGGGAGAGGAGTGGACAGAGAGTGATGGAGGGAGGGTTCTAATCCTTGTTTTGTTAGAGAGAGAGCATTGGAAGGATGTGTCGCCCTCACGGCCTATCAAATTGAATCCTTCTAGCGATCCATCAACTTTAAACTTTAAGTGATTGTTTTACCCTCTAAATAAATTTTAAGGCTTCTTTATACGGATACTCCATCAACTTTACGCGTTCAGTAAATTAGTCACTAAATTTTTAACTTGGCAATTCACTCATTAAACTTTAAAATTCATTGCAATGTTAGTCAAATTCAAAACGAAGTTAAAAAATTAGACTTTCTCCACGTGAACATTTAATGAGACTAATTCTAGTCCTTTTGCATCAAATTAGACCTCATATTATACATCATGAGTGATTTTTTTTTTATAAAGGGAATTTTCATTAAAAAGTGGAGAATTTACCTTTGAGAGTACATGAGACTGGACTTTACCCATTACTCTTGATAAATACCCTTTTGTTAGTGTAATTATTTGTCTAAAAAAGTTATAAATCAAGAGTAAATGGTAAAAATCTTAACTCGTACAATTTCAAGAGTATTTGATAAGATTACCCAAGTTTATTACTAAAAAGAATGAAATACATACTCGATATGTCACAAATGACCCCGAATACAAAGGAATTCGACCCGAATTACTGGATCTACTAGTAAAAACAATAAAGGAACCTCTACAATTTTAAATTAAGGAACCTCTAATTTTTTTTTTTCCAAAAAAGTTAATCCCCAATTTCAAAAATCTTTTCACTCATAATGTCCATACAAATATTAATTCAATGCAAAAAGATCAAAATTAGCCTCATTAAACATTCATATGGAAGCAACTGTCTAAATTTTTAACTATGTTTTCAATTTGACCAACATTACAACGAATTTCAAAGTTTATGAAGTGAATTGTCAAGATCAAAAGTTGATGATCAATTTGTCAAACTAGTAAAGTTGAGTAACTGTTTATATAAAAAAGCCAATTATTAACAAATAGTTTAAATGAACAATATAGTGATTTAACAAATAATTATCATACATGCTTTCGACTCTATCTCCATCCTACCAAACACTATGAAAGATTATTATAATTATTTACATCCTTTATATTCTCTATCCCTCTAACCAAACAGATCCTAAACGAGAAAGAAAATCACTCTACCTTTTTTATGGGGAAAAGTGCAAAAGTATCGCGCCTTTAAGAATGTACAAAAATACTAGGCTTTATCTACAATGAGACCTCCTAAAAATATTTATTAGTGCAACACTCTATTTTGACCGTTAGATTATTTTTTCACGGTTAGATTTACAAAGGGAGCAGTTTTATGCAGCTTATTGTAATTTTTAACACAAATTTAATTATTAAAAACTTAATCTAATGATTAAAAATATGATGTTTCATTGATGAATTTTTTTAAGAAATTTCACCGAAAGAAAACTCTCAAAATACTATTGATTAGGAATATGTGGATTTTATGGGATTTTTTTTATTGTAGGACACTCGGTGGAGCACCTCACTAGGAGCTGTTAGATTAAAATTGTACGGTCAAAAAGACGCTGGGTTCGTTCATTTCACCGATTCGAGTTTTAAGTTTTTACAGTAAAAAATTTTCAGAAAATGTCACATCTAACTTTTTATGCTACAGTGAAAAGCTCTCAGAAAATATCACATCTCAACTCGAATTAAAAACTCAAATCCGCAAAGTGAATGAGGCTGTTATTTTAACTCTTTGCATATGATAATAGCTGCTATGAACTTTTAAATTGTGGTCCCAATCTTGTAAATATTTAAATTAATAATTTTTTATTTAAATTTTAAATTTTTTATAAAAAAAATATTATAATAAAATTAAAATTATGAATTGAAACCTATGAAATAATTTGAGTCTTAAAAAAAATAAATATTGGTTAGCTTTTAAATTAAGGCCTCGTTCACTTTGCGGATTCGAATTTTTAATTCGAGTTGAGATGTGATATTTTCTGAGAGCTTTTTACTGTAGCAGAAAAAATTAAATGTAACATTTTCTGAGAGCTTCTTACTGTAAAAATTTAAAATTGAAAAATCGAATCGGTGAAATGAACGAGACTAAGAGAATGCAATTGGACTGATATGAGCAACGTGGCAAACATCTTTTCTAAAAACAAAAATAAATCAAAGGCCACCCAATTTGCGCTAAACAAGTCTGACGTCTACATAACGAGCAAACCCAGAAAATAGAGCTCAAATAGAGACTCAACTCACTACAGATCACACAAAAATAAAAAATTCATATATGGGATTTTGTAAAAGAAGACGAAAAAAGCAAACCCACAAAATCAATTTTTGAGATGCACAACACGAAGGGAAACGCAAAGTGATGAAAATAGGGGAAGATTATAAGGAGAAATAAAATATTATTTTGAGACAAGAAAGGAGATAAATAAAGGAGGAGGATAAGAACTTCATCAAAAAAGGAAAAAAAAAAAAAAACGGAGAAAGCTCAAATCTTTGGTGTTGTTTTTTCTATTTCCAGTCTCTTGAAAAGTTAATAGGGAGTTTTGTCTGATGATAATGACTGTCATTTTTTCTTTTTCCAGTCTCTTGAAAAGTTAATAGGGAGTTTTGTCTGATGATAATGACTGTCATTTTTTCTTTTTCCAGTTTCTTTTTGCAACAAGAAGTTGGGAAATGGATGTATACGTGCCCTTTTTATTATTATAATTTTTTTTTTTTTTGGTAAGAAGGGGATATCGGATGATGAGAACAACCATGGTCAAAAATGAAGGAAAAATGTTCTTCTTCATAGTCAGCTTCCATTTTCGGATCGCGGCGAGCTCGTCATGGACACCGGAGAGGTCGGCTACTTGATGTCCGAATTCCGATGAGTTTTTTCTTTTTTTTTTCGATGTAAAAAAACTGTTTTATAAAAAGCATTAGGCTTTTTTTACACGAGATCCCTTTAAACTTTACGTATTTGATAGATTAGTCTTTGAATTAAAATTTTTACAATCAACTCCTTAAATTTTAAAACCAATTGCAAATCGGATCCAATTAAAAACGATATTAAAAAAATTGGATGGAGTAGCCATGTGAATTTGAACAGTAGCAAATAATTTTTTTTGATTAAAAAGAAGAAAACAAAAACTAAAAATACGTTCATTTCATTAATTAATAAATTAATAAATAAACGTTTAGTTTATAAATTTAAAATTATTTTTATTTACGTGTAATTTTAAAAAAAAATATTATAATAAATAATAAATTATATTTTAAATTATGATACGAATCAAATAATTAAATTATCTTTAAATCACGCTTCAAATTATATTTTTATAGTATTTTTTTATAAAAATTTAAATTTAATTTTTTATTATAATATTTCATTTAGGTATACAACTCAAAGTCACGTAAAAAAAGAAGCCTTAAAACTAAAAATAGTGAGCCACCGGAGAGATAAAGGCTGCCATCGCCGGAAGAGGCAGATGGTTGCCGATCGTGGCGCCGCCGTTGTGAACTTCGGCGAGACCAAGTAGGTGGTTTGCATATCCCAAAGCTTAACTCAAAAACTGATTTTTTTTTTTTTGCTACTGCAACTCAAAAATTGATTTTTCCAATATGTTTTGGGTTTTCTCACCAAATCCAGTTCTTTTTTTTTTTTCTTTTCATTTAATGAACTTCCTTCTTGAAACCTTCATACACAGTGAGACAACACGGGTCAAGAGGGAAATCACGTTGGTCATAGACAAGCTGACTAGATCTCGTGGGGGATCGTTGGGATCAAGCGGGGGAGAGGGCTGCTATGACGGCGGCGGTGTCATCCCGCGGAGGGAGGCGCTGCGGCACCGGAAAGGATGCGAAGGGGGTCACTGTGACGTCGGCATCTGGCGAGGAGGGCACTATGATGCTTGGTTCCGGTGGCGGAGAGACGCGCTGCGAATGCTAGGCGGGATAGGGGCGCGACGGTGAGCGGATGAGGGATGGAGGACGCAGGCAGTAATGTGAAGAAGACGGTGGGGCTAGGAATTTTTATCTCTTTTATTTTTCTTTTCTCTGATTTTATTACTTTTTTAATGTGTTAATTTTCAATCCATCAAATGGACGTTTCATACCCTTGTTAAGACGTCACGAGTCACGTGGAGAAAATTCGTTAGTTTTTTAACACCATTTTCAATTGCAACGAATTTTAAACTTCAAGAGGTCCTATTGTAAAAGTTTTTAGTTTAAGAATCAATCTACTAAACACAACAAATCGGTCCATGCAAAAAAAAAAAAACTAAAATGTTTCCTAAAAATAATAGAAAAAGCTAACGTGTAAATGAACACATGATATCAATAATAGACTCGTCTTTCACCGCTAACAATCAAAGTCAAAGCTCAAAACTCAAAACCATTCTTTTACTTGGTCCACCAATGGAGCAAAATAGGGTGTCCTACAGTAAAGAATCCCCGATTTTATATCGCAAAGGAAAGAATAAGAGTTTCTGTTATACATGATCTGCGCAAGACATGATTGAGAAACTAAAGAGGTATCCATAATAGATTTCTCACAGAAATATTTCCCTTACCAAAGGCAACTATAATTTGAGAATAACACAAACCACTTAAATTACAAATTAATCCGAGGAATGAAAACCGAATTTTGGAGGAAACTCAAACAACAGAGGCAAAAGGTTATTATGAGGAAAAATACCTATGGGAAAGATCGAAATTGCCCATCTTGTAAGGAGTGAGGAGAGGAATATTGGTGGGAGTTTGAGCATGACTCGTCATAATATGATTGTTGTCGCTTTCCTTTTCTGCTATCTGCGACTGAACCCTGCTCTTGCTTTCCATTTCTTGTTCACCGTGTGCTCCGGACCGTGTTTGTGGCTACTGAATAATAGAATGAATGAAGATCAAAATTGTCATACTTTACGGAAAAAATAATAGTAGTAACTAAAGTAGAACAAGTACAAATAGGTGCATGTTTGATAGGGTTTCACTCTTGACTTTAATTTAAATAGTGTTTTTTAAAAAAAATTAAAAGATTTTGTTATATTATTTTTCTTACAAAATTTAAATTTTTATTTAAATCATATAAGACTTGTTTATTTACACACAAACTTAAAAAAAGTTTAAACTCAAGTTGTAACTTTATTTAAGTTTATGTTTTTTTTTTTTTTTTTTTTTATAAAATTTGAATTTTAACTTGAACTTGAGGCTAAAATCTGAGTTTAAATTCCTCCTTTATCTCAAGTTTCTAAACTCAAACTCAAGTTAATAAACAATATGTTTTATATTCTTAAAAACGTCATAACTTTTTCGTTTGAATTTCGATTGAGATAATTTTTTTCTATGCGTTCACAACAAATAGACAAATAAAACTTCACCTATATACCTTATTAAAATTTTTCATCACTATTGAGTTTTTATTAAAATATCATTCAAATACAAATTTAAATTTTGACTAACCTAAACATAAATTCAAATAGATTCTCAATTCAAACCATAATTTAAAATATGCATATCCAAACACAAGCTCAAATTAGAGTCCTAACTCAAACCATGCTCAAATACATCTTAACTCAAATTAAAATTTGAACTCAAGTTATTCTAACTAAAAAAATATCAATAAATAAGCTTATAAATTTTAATATCAAACTCGAGTTTAAACTCAAATTTTATAAAAAAAAATATAAACTTAAATAAAATTATAACTTAAATTCAAATTTTTTTTTTAAATTTGGGTACAAGCTACGGGATACTGTGGCGATTTCAAGCTTGGTAATGGCTGCTGACGTTTGGGCACACCTGCTTGATTTAACTTTGAGGTGTGCTAGCTGCAAGCAAACACGTCATCACAAGCTGCCTATGTCATGTGCCACGTTTCAACTTCATTTTCAGTCAAAATGTTGCTAAAATATGCACTCTTCTTTTACGGCAAAATAAACGAAAATGCCATAATTCCACTTTCTCTAAGCAACTTATTAGTCACACAACAAAGCATCCAAAAGAATACATATATCTTTGGTTTACCTCTCTTCCATTCTTGCCATGGAAAAAACTGGAGCGTGCATCACATTTCCTCACAGTTCCATCCAACTAATGAAAATTGATTTATCAATCAACTAAATAAACTTAAAAACTTAATCAAATTTGAAGATGATTCACGGAAAAACACAAATTTCTAAAAGTCCATTACTCTTCCGACATTATGCAAAAGTCATTTGCTAAGCAACAGGGTTTTAGGCCCTTAAGGGACAGAATATTTTTCTATAATTTTTTTTAATTGTTGAACGCTTTTAATAGGGTTGACAATCTAAATAGTGACATGACGACAGGACTTGAAATCTGCACAAAATTAACGGGTTTAGATTTATTATAAATAGATTTTGGTCATAATCAGGTTGACACGATTAATAAATATGTTGGGTTAGGGTTGACCTCCTAACACGAAATGACACGAATTAATACAATTAACTATATGTGTCATCTGCAATCTAATGATATATGATATAATATGAGAGTTTATATGACATTAATACAAATAATGTGATTTTTTATATTTGTAGGTAAAATTCATTTATTTTTCTTAAAGAAAAAGATAAATTAAGCAATAAACATGTTAAACATGTCATGACCGTGTTAAATAAGTCATTATTATATTAATTATTTATTTAATATATTAATTTAATCGGGTTATACGGGTTTACACGATTAATACGATTAATAAATATGTCGTGTTTGGGTTGACATTTTTGACACGTTTAATAAATATGTCGTATTTAAGTTGATGTTTTCTGACACGATTAATAAACGGATTGACACGAACACGACCCACTGATACGAATTCTCACCCCTAGCTTTTAGGCCCTTAAGGATAAACTTTTTCTTTTGGAAGTTTTAGATGGTGGAAACTTTTGTTGCTTTGAGTAGTAATTAATGAGGAAAGAAAAAAAAACCATATAATGATAGTTTATTTAGCTGAAAAATAATGGGTGCATTTGAAAATTGGTTTTAGATTGTTTTTTAAAATGTTTATGCACGTCTTTTGAGACAAAAAAAATAAAAATGATCTGCAAACTGTATTTTTTTAGCAAATGTTTTGAAAATGAAAAGGAAAAACAATGATAATGATTTTTGTGAAGGATTTAAAAAATGGTTGAAAGTTGTTTTCTCTTTTCTGTTTTCATTTTTTAGTACTTATCAATAATGCTATAATATATTAATTAATAATTATAACAAAATATAATTTTAATTTTTTATTATACTCAAACAATCTCTTAAAAAACTAACTAAATGTAATTTCAGAATTTGTCCCAAAATAATTCTCAAAACAATCTCATTTTTACTTTTTACAATTTCGCAATGTTTTCCTAGTGCTTTTTTTTCTTTTTCTTTTATTGCCACGATATTTATGTTTTGACTTACAGTGTGTTTGGTAGGGTGGAAAATGGAGATGAAAGAAAATAGATGAAGGATTTTAGAGAGGAAAATGAAATTTTAAGTTGTTTGGTAGAGAATAAATGAGGAAGGAAGGAAAATGAAAATCTATGGGGTCTACTAATTTTTAATCCTTCTAACTTTGGGAAGAAAAGATGAGGTAAAAAGTTTGACAAACAAATTAGGTGTAAAATAACAATTTAAACATTTACCATTCATCATATTTTTATTTGTATTGAGGCATTATTGTAAAATGTCTTAAATTTGACATTTTTTTTTTTACTTTTTTACCAAATAACATGCAAAAAGACCGTTTTAATTTCCTCATCTAAGTATTTTATTTCTCCTTCCTTCTTTATTTCTATCTATCCTACCAAACAATAGCATTAGATTACGAGAGATGGTATCCTATAGTCTACACACACAGAAAGAACAAAAAAATAAAATACAAAATAATAATTAAAAAATCTTTGGTATGTGATCATGAGATGCAAATGAATTCGCACCATATTTTATAGCTTGATGGGTCAAGGCAGTCTTAAATCTGCTAAAGGCTGAATACAAGTTGAGCCACATGTTTTCAAGGTCCCAATTTAGCTAGGACACCTCTTAATACAAAATTTTTATTCCAATTTCCATTACCAGAAAAATTAGGAGTTCCTAATTTCATCTTGCAGGTACAACCATGTCATTTTATTTGCAGCTGAATGACGTGGGTGTGATTATTTCGCGAGTCATATTACTACGTGAAATCAGTTAATCATGTAACTTGCTAAACAAATCAACTGGAATCTCAAGTTTCCATCCAAACCACATAGTTTGCGAATATTATTTTCTGTTCGTTTCTCAAGATATCTCACATGATAAATGTTCCAAAGAGTAAAAACAAAAATCATTTCCAGGAGAAACCTCAAACCAAGGTCTTTAGTCTTTACTGCTTTAAAGTTCAAAAAACCTTCCTCTGTTGCTGCTGAGAAATATCTTCTGGTGTCGTTTTGTAATTTGTGCTTCTAAAACTAATCCTCTTCCACAAACTTGAAATACCTCACGGTTCTTGCATTTTCCACCTCACATCACTAAAGCACAAGACACGTCACTGGATAGGATTTAAACCAGCCAATCAGATGAATCCTCAGGATAACCCAATGCTTCCATATCCGCCCCCATTCCACTCTTTATCCAAACACAAACCACACAATTTCATCTCCACTCACTATTAAAATCAATACTTGCTATCTCCACCTCTTGATCTCCTCCAACGTCCAACTCCTCCCAATCTTCAAACAGCAACTGTTAAAACTTCTTATCCGCAATGGCCACCGTGACATCCGCTGCCGTCGCCATCCCATCATTCACCGGCCTTAAGGCAGCCGGCTCAGCTAAAGTAAGCGCCGCCGCCAAGGTTGCTGCTCCTACCCCAAGGTTTGGCGTCAAGGCCTCCCTCAAGGACGTCGGTATCGCCGTTGCTGCCACTGCTGCCAGCGCCATGCTTGCCAGCAACGCCATGGCCATCGATGTGCTGCTTGGAGGAAGCGACGGGTCTTTGGTGTTCGAGCCAAACAACTTCACCGTCGGCTCCGGTGAGAAGATCGTGTTCAAGAACAATGCAGGGTTCCCACATAATGTCGTTTTCGACGAGGACGAGATTCCCGCAGGCGTCGACGCTTCAAAGATCTCGATGAGTGAGGAGGACCTTCTCAACGGCCCTGGGGAGTCTTACTCAGTCACCTTGACCGAGAAAGGTAGCTACGCCTTCTACTGTTCGCCTCACCAGGGTGCTGGTATGGTGGGAAAAGTGACCGTTAACTAAGTTCGTTTGGAACTCTGCTTGTTATAAGGCTCATCTCATGCATTTTCCAATTTTTTTGTACTAGAGCTCGATATTATAGTTAAGTGGTGGAAATCCTGAAAATGTGTGAGGTGTTGTCTACTATAGTGCTTTTGTTTTTTTCTTCTTTGAATAAGTTGTAGATTTGTGGTACAGACTTTAATTTGGCTATTAGCCTCCATTTCATTTTATAATGCTCAAGTCCCCTTAAATGGCTTCTGCATGTTGTCATTTGACACCATAATTTACACGAGTAATCTATATGTCGAATCCTTGGTGTTAGCCGAATCAAGGGCAAGAGAGATGTAGGCAGGACTCAAAGTCCAAATCTTTAACAAACCATGAGGTTAATTACCAAAAAAAAAGAACTGAATAATACCACGAGGGTAATGAGTCCAATGTGAAATAAATTACATGTTACAACGTGAAACCAATTGGACTGACTCGTCTGTTAACATATAACAAATTACAACAAGCTAGCCTAAACTCAACCCAAGATTGCTCTTGTAGTTGGAACCGTAGTTTATAATTTATCCACTCTTTGAGGATTGAAATGAAGTGAATCCTCATGAAATTAAAGAACAAAACTGGGAGGAGCTATGTGGTAAGAGCGTCGGGAAGGGTAGAACGGGATCCAAGCACCTTACCCCCAACATCAGGGAAAGTCTCTCGCCCGGGCATCGAACCCACCTTCCCACTGGCATCTACTTCAACTGGGTATTTCAGAAGGTGGCCCTGCAATGGCGTGAAGTCATCTGCTGTAAAATTTGTCCAATTATCTTCGGCAACTTTGTTAACGTGCTTCACGCAAGCCAAACTTTCAGGCTCTTTGAAGCAATTATCTATCAATCCCAAGTGTTCAGCCCAAAGCGACATTCGGTATCCATATACCTTCAGGCACAAGGATAAGAAGATAGTATCAAACTAGTTTACAAGGATAAGAAGATAGTATCAAACTAGTTTTAGGATTGGAGTTGAGCCTCCTTCTTTTAGTTAATACAAGCTAGAGAGGACAATGTAGCTAGTGTTGAGTTGAAGCAAATCTCGGAGAATGAAAAACTTAGGAAAAGGCACGGACCTGACCACGTGGATGTCGCTTTCTCTTACCCCATGTATGATGGGGTTGATACGCACCCATGGCTATCTCAGTGTCTCTTGAACCAGCCATAGACCTTTGGTTGATGTTGGCAGACCCTAATATCACGTACTCGTCGTCTACTATCATTCCCTTGGCGTGTACATAGATCATAAATCGTTGGAACTTCTGTGAGGCTGAAACCTGAAATAGGTTGCAGAGAACAGATTTTTCATTTTCATGAACACCTTGATTCATAACATTAGTCATTAAATATAGCTAAAAGTTACTACTCATTCTAAACTCTCATACTGTGATGCCAGATGACTCAAGCTAATGGCCTTTTGATGAAAAACCAAGTTGTCATTTAATTTTTCTAGAAGTACTTAATTTTCATCTAGTAGTTTGATGTTCAATTTAAAAATGAAGAAAATTAAGTTCCTCCTAATGGTATGGTTACCGTTTCTCCATTCTTGGGAGTTTGATCGGCTGAAAAGGACTGTCCTTTGGGCAATTCTTCCCGATTACCAAGACAATAAAAGTTCAGATAGTCCCGTGGATGAGAATTCTCGAGATTCGAGGATTTCAATTCTTGCGCTATGATTTCATACATCATTTGTATCGTCTGGCCCTGAAATAAGCAAAAAAGGGGCAAATGAACTTGAGTGTATAGATTCAACGAACACTGTATTCAAAATGTCATAGAGGAATTTAGCAAATGTATATTATTATGATACACAAAAACATTCAAATATTTTCTGGATGTATAAAAATGGTTCAAGAATAATAAATTTGGCAGCAAATCTGTAAGTCCTCCAACTTGCACAAATTCATTTCTTAGTTTACCACTTTTTACCTGCCAAAAGAGTATTTCTTGTACTGCACCAGAAGATGGGACACCCTCAGGCCACATTGGTATGACAATATAGACTGCGAACCTCTCTTTGGCTCTTATCTTACTAGCAATCTTTAATGCCAACTCCATTGGGATTAAATTATCAGCACCTAAAATAAGCTGGTCATTGATAAGAAACAAATAATACTAACAGAATGGTCAAGGGAGAGAGAACACGACAACTTAAAGTTTCAAGAAGAAAATATTATTGTATGTGTTCTCCATTTGGGAAACCAGTTCTTGAGTCTGCATTCTGCTAATCGATGAATATACCAAAATCCTTCTTTGCAATTCTACGGGGTGTGCAATATAATGATAAGAACCGAACTTGAATTGAGGAATTGAACAGAAAAGCAAAATTATATTGATGAAGTAATTAAAAGAGATTACAAGATAGATGGGCAGACATTTGAGAGGTCTGCTAGCTCTCCCAAGAGTTTTCCCAGTTTTCTCTAATCCATCCCTCGCCTTTAGTCTCTTTCTATTCCTTATATACTTCTACTAACTAGCTTAACAAACATAACAAACCAACCCTAATTATATACTACTACTAACTAGCTTAACAAACATAACAAACCAACCCTAATAACTAACCACTTATTATATTGATTACTAATTACTAACATAATCCTATCATATAAATATATACATCATTAAAGTTACGCCTCACAAGATATTAATCAATGAATATGACATGCATACAATTTAACATCTTATGGAAGTAACATAAATCGTTCAAAACCTGCATCCTTGTAAGAGGGCCATGCATAAGATGATCCAAGAAAATATTGATTCTCAATATATATGAAGTGTTGGGCAGCTCTGATTGCTTGGATGTATGCTGTTTGAATGCTCTTGTCTATGACCAAGTTTTTTGCACAGAAAAGATTCTGCAAGCAGAAAAGAATTTCAGACAATCGAAATCAAGAATACAAAAAACCATGTTATTTAATATATTGTATATGTTATGAGTGTACCTGAGCCTCTGCTACAAAAACGTCTTTGGGAAATCCTTTCAAAGATCCTGAGTCAATGGATCTGAAAACCTGTCAAATAAGGAAAACAAGGTAAGGCCCGCAACTAAACAAGCTAAAACTGATAAAAATGTACGTCTTTGAAACTTTACTGCAGAAAGTGCAGAATAGTTAACCTGAACATGCCAGTTTTCAAGATCGTCTTCCTTGGAAACCCATAGCACAGGATCATCGGCAGGAATCGATGAAGACGGACTAAGTATCCATGATATGCGCTCCAACTTTATCAAAGCATCATCATGCCAATGAGATACCCTCTTAAAACGTTGCCCCAATTCTGACCATTTCGTGGCTTTTCTCCAACGTTGCTCAAAATTTTTAAGCACATCATATGCTGCGGGGCCTTCAATTTTGCAATGCAAATCATGCCACGGTTGCCGTGGACCCCTAGTTCCAGACTATTATTCACACATGTAAGCAAGAAGAACGTCAGAGACTGCTCATAATAGAAAAAAGGTCCTGAGATGAAAGGTGACTTTTAGGGAAATAAATACTCACAGAAAAAGTTGGATTGTGATAATCTTCCTGAAATACTGTGTCAAGATCATGAAATAGACGATGCTCAGGTGTATCATAGCGGCCATCACAAAGGTCTAGACCTCCTATAAACGCACTTATCTTCCTGTTATTACCCGGTGCTTGTGTATCCACTATTACACATTTCTGATGATGCGTAAAAAGGGTTCCAACGACCTGATATTAATTGGCAAGTAGTAGAAATTTATTTCTCAACTAACAACTGGAAAGATATACTGATAGAACCCCAGAAACTACTGGGCTGCTTTTCTTTCTTGAACCGTTTGAATCAAAGGAAATACAAAATAAGAAAATACAGATAAGAGAAATTCAAGGTTCCTCTGCCTCCCAATTCAATACTTAGCAACAAAATCGACTGACTCATTTCCTACCTAGAGCTCTCCTATATAACTATTCCTACCACAGCATTCTCTATGCAAAACTAACTTGTAACGGACAGTAGGGCTTATATCGAATCTCCAAGGAATGCCAGGTCATCCAACTATCCAAAATTACTCAGTCTTCCCCTGAGACTGAGATATTCCCTTCTTACCTCTCCTAGAGTAAACGAACTTGACATGAGCGACTCGGGCTCTAACATCTCCCCCCCAGAACAACCTCGTCCCTAAGGTTAAAGTCAGGGAATTGGGTCTGAATGGTGTAAACCGGCTCCCAGGTAGCATCCCAAATGGGCAGACCCTCCCATTGAATCAACACTTCTGGCACTTGTTTGCCGCCCACTGAGAGAACTTTGCCATCCAACATTGCTGAAGGCTACACCACAAGTTCCAGCTCATCTGATAAGGTAGGGGCAGGGGCTGGCCTGAGACGATGATTCCCCTATAAGGTTTCAACTGAGAGACGTGGAAAACCAAATGGATCTTGGCTGTCGGAGGTAACTAAATACGGTAAGCGACTGGGCCAACTCTATCCAACACTGCAAATGGGCCGTAGAAACATGGACTGAGCTTCTCATTTGCACGACGGGCTAAGGATTTCATGAAATAAGGGCGCAGCCGCAACAATACAAGATCCCCAATGGCAAAAGTAACATCCTGGCAGTGGCGATCTACGTATTTCTTCATTTGTTGCTGGGCCGGTGCGAGATGATCTTTCAGGAGGTCCAGTGTCTAGTTTCGGATCTGCAGCTGCTCTTCCACCCCCTGAACTACCGCAGAGCCCTCTTGGTAATGGTGTAACGTAGGTGGGTGCCTCCCATAGACCACAAAGAAAGGAGTGTACTTCGTCGATGCGCTATACGTGGTGTTGAACCAATATTCGGCCCACGAAAGGAAAAACTACCACTGTCGCGGTTTGTCGTTAGCGAAGCACCTCAAGTAAGTCTCGAGGCAGCGATTGGTGACCTCTGTTTGTCCATCAGATGATAGGCGGAGCTGGTATGCAGTTTAGTCTCCTGTAACTTAAATATTTCTTGCCAAAATAAGCTCATAAAGAGGGGGTCGCAATCGCTAACGATCGACGTAGGTACTCCGTGCAAGCGGATGATCTCTTTGACAAAGTGCTCGGCAACCCGCTTGGTTGTGAACGGGTGAGTGAGGGGACAGAAGTACGTGTATTTGGATAGGCGGCCCACGACTACTAGCATAGTGTCAAACCCTTTGGAATTGGGTAGGCCACTAATAAAGTCCATGGAGATATCCTCCCAAATTTGCTTCGGCACCGGCAATGGGGTTAGCAACCCCGCCGGAGAAAGGGCGTCTGTCTTGCATTGCTGGCACGTCACACATTAAGCAACATAATCCCGAATCACCTTTTTCATGCCCTTCCAAAAGACGACTCCTGCCAAGCGCTTGTAGGTGCGGAGGAACCCGGAGTGTCCCCCAACGACTGAATCATAGTGCTCATGAAGGAGCAGTGGCACCCACGAAGAGGAAGCATGGATAACCAGCTGAGTTTTGAACAGGAGCAAGCCATTCTGGATGCTGTAACCAGGGACTGCCCCTGCATCCGAGCGTAGCTTGGTTATCACGGCGGCACAGTAAGGATCCCTAAGCTGTTCCTGGTGAATGACATCAATGTCTAGCTGTTGCGGAATGGATAACATGCTGAGAACAGTTAGGTTGACCTTTACCCGTCGAGATAAAGCATCAGCTACTCGATTGGCTGCCCCAGGCTTGTATTGAACCTCAAAGTCATATCCGAAGAGTTTAGTAACCAATCGTAGTTGATCGGCAGGCAAGACACGTTGGTACATGAGATGGCATAGGCTTTGTTGGTCAATCCGGATAATAAAGTGCCGTCCTAAGAAGTAGTGCCGCCACTTTTCCACCGCGAGAATAATGGCCAGCAACTTCCTCTCATATACGGATTTCCAATGGGAAGAGGGGGAGAGCCTTTTGCTGAAATAGGCTATAGGCCGGCTTTCTTGCATAAGCACTGCCCCACACCATTTCCAAAAGCGTTTGTTTCCAAGATAAAATTCTTCCTAAAGTCTGGCAACGCTAAAATCGGGAGGTCTGCCATCAAGGCTTTCAATTTCTGAAATGCTACCTCGGCAAGTGGAGTCCACTGGTAAGCCCCTTTTTTGAGTAAGTCCGTCAAGGGTCGAGCGAGCACTCCGTAACCTTCCATGAATCGGCGGTAATAGCCAGTCAAGCCAAGAAATCCGCGAAGCTCCTGAACCGGTCGTGGGGTTGGCCATGAAGTAATGGCGTGTACCTGTGAAGGGTCAGCCGACACGCCCTCGTGAGAGATAATGTGGCCGACGTTATCTACCTGGGCACACCCGAATGTGCATTTCTTGTGATTGGCATAGAACCATTCTCTCTGCAACGCCTCTAGGACCAACTCCAAGTGCCTAATATGCTCCGCCCTTGTTCTACTGTAAATAAGAATATCATTAAAGAAAACTAACACAAATATATGCAGGAAGGGTCGGAATACCGTGTTCATGAGGGATTGAAATGTGGCGGGGGCATTGGTGAGCCCAAAGGGCATAACGAGGAACTCATAGTGCCCTTCGTGGGTTTGAGATGCGGTCTTCTCGACATATTCTTCCTGAACTCGGATTTGGTGGTACCCCGCGCGAAGGTCAAGCTTGGAGAAAACGCAGGCCCTATGGAGTTTGTCCATCAGCTCATCGATTATAGGAATGAGGTACTAATCTGGAACTATTAGCTGGTTCAATACCTGGTAGTCCACGCAGAACCTCCAACTGCCATCTTTCTTTTTAACCAGCAAAACAGGGCTCGAGAACGAGCTGGTACTCGGCCGAATTATCCCTGGCGCCAGCATTTTGCCCACCAGTCGCTCAATCTCCTCCTTCTGGTAGTGGGGATACCTATAGGGCCGGATATTATGAGGGGAAACTCCTGCTCGCAACACAATATGGTGCTCACGTGCACGGCGTGGTGGAAGACCTTCGGGCAGCTCAAACACCGACCGAAATTGATCTAGAATTTCAGCTAGTTCCGGTTGAACTAGACCGGCTGAGAAGTCTCGTTCCTCGTTAGACACCAAACCACTTTCGAGTAACACCCCAGACTGTTCACAAAGTAAGGAACGAAAGATAGAGCGTACCCCGACTTTAGTGCAGCAAAGGGCGGGATCGCCTTGTAGGCATACCTATTGACTTCCCTCCCTAAACTTCAGCGTGAAGCGAGTCCAATATGCCCGCACTTCCCCCAACGTTCGAAGCCACGTAACTCCGAACACTAGATCTACATTTCCTAACTCGAAGGGGAAAAAGTTCTCAACCACTTTATGTCCTTGAATCATTACATGCACCGATTGACAAACTCCCTCTTGCCGAAAAATCATTCCATTTCTTACCTGAATCTGGTGTCGGACCGTCAGATCCCGTGGTAAGTCTATATCCGTCACCAGCGAGGATGAGATAAAACTGTGCGACACGCCGCTGTCCACTAGAATGATGACCTCCCGTCCGTGGATTGTCCCCTAAACCTTCAACGTCTTCGCCGAGGAACACCCGTTGAAGGAATTGAGTGACATAGCGGCCATTTCCATGACCGCCGAGCCCAGGGGATCGTGCACCTCCTCTTCTGAGGCTGGCTTCCCCTGTCCTTCCCCCTCTGAGTCGTCATCCCCGAGCATCAACACTTGTAGAGATCAACTCTTGCAGCGGTGGCCTGGGCTGTATTTCTCGTCGCACCTGAAGCAGAGTCCGCAAGCCTTGCGTTGTTGAACCTTGTCGAAGGTCAAACGTCGGAATCCAATTTCGTCGCCGGTGGTGTGTGGTGTTTTCGTGGCCGCCGCCGTTAGCCCCTTTTGGTGGGTGTTTGGCTCTCGACTGGATTGAGATTGAAGGGAGCTGTCTCTTGAATCAGGGGCGAGATATGGGCTGTAAGGGCTTGTACCGGGTCGACCCAGATATTTGGGTATGGGGACCCGCCCAACTTTGCTCATCCTTACTCGGTCTATTGCATCCAAATGGTCTTCAACTTGTTGGGCCAAGTCCATTGCTCCAGCAAATTAATGGACCGATGCATCCTCACCTCCGCCCTGATGTCCTCACGTAACCCATTTAGGAAAGCCCATTTGAAGATGGGCTCTGGCACTCCTCATGGAGGCAGCGAGTGCCTCGAACGTATCACGGTATTTCGCTACTCCATTGGTCTGCCTGAGTGCCATCAACCTCTCCGTTGCATCACCCTCACGGGTGTAACTGAAGCGTTGGATGATGGCCGTCCGGAGTTCCCTCCAATTGGTAAACGGCTCATGTACATCCACCTACTAGAACCAGCCCAGAGCTCTTCCTTCCATGCACACAAACGCTGCCAAGATCCGTTCCTCGTCCTCAATGTCATTCACGGTGAAGTAGCGCTCGGCTCGAAAGACCCAGACATAAAGGTCTTCTCCTTGGAAGATTGGAAGTTCTAGCTTCTTTCCATGGAAATCACCGCGTCCTCTCGGTCGTCCCGGCGAGATCTGGCGTGATGCTCGCACCCCTTCCCGTCGTCGATTCGGGGAGTCTTCTCGTGGATCCACTCGGCCTCTTTCTGGCTCCCGCCGTGGAGGTGTCCGATATGGATTCCCGTCCAGAAGTCGAGCCTGCCTCTGTAACAACTCCTCGATTCTTTGCATCGATCCTTGTAACTCCCCTACTCTGGTTCCCAGCCGAGTGACGTCCTCCTGCAGCTGGGGAGCGCGGTTAGTCATAGCTCCGACTATCTGGGGAGTTTCCTGGATGTCTTCTATCTGAAGCTCCACCGTGGAAACACGGTCTGCAGTGCTCGGGTCATGGGAAGCGGTTGCCATGGGATCGGTGTCTCTGATACCAGTTGATAGAACCCCAGAAACTACTAGGCTGTTTTTCTTTATTGAACCGTTTGAATCAAAGGAAATATAGAATAAGAAATTACATATAAGACGAATTTGAGGTTCCTCTGCCTCCCAATTCAATACTTAGCAACAAAATCGACTGACTCCATTCCTACCTAGAGCTCTCCTATATAACTATTCCTACCACAGCATTCCCTATGCAAAACTAACTTGTAACGGACAGTAGGGCTTATATCGAATCCCCAAGGAATGCCAGGTCATCCAACTATCCAAAATTACTCAGCCTTCCCCTGAGACTGAGATATTCCCTTCTTACCCCTCCTAGAGTAAACGAACTTGACAGGAGGGACTCGGGCTCTAACATATACATATTAAGGAACTTTGACTGCCAAATCGGGATTCTATTCTCATGATATACTACCCCTCTAAGAGAATCAAATGTGCTAACTAGGACAGAATGTCAAACGAGATCAGAGCATGATAGTCGCTAAAATTCCATGCTTCTCACGCATAACAGAGTGACAATGAAATAAAATACATTAGGAACCCGTATCTAACTGTAACTGGTATTGAATTTTAGTAGTCTTTGTTTCAGTTACACACAAGAGCAGAGTTAATGATAATGGCTATTTTAGTAAGAGAATCAAATTTAAACAGCTGAAAGCCATAATTGCTTCTAACACTAAACAAATTCAGGTGCACACGAATGTGTGGATTACATATAAGACGAATTTGAGGTTCCTCTGCCTCCCAATTCAATACTTAGCAACAAAATCGACTGACTCCATTCCTACCTAGAGCTCTCCTATATAACTATTCCTACCACAGCATTCCCTATGCAAAACTAACTTGTAACGGACAGTAGGGCTTATATCGAATCCCCAAGGAATGCCAGGTCATCCAACTATCCAAAATTACTCAGCCTTCCCCTGAGACTGAGATATTCCCTTCTTACCCCTCCTAGAGTAAACGAACTTGACAGGAGGGACTCGGGCTCTAACATATACATATTAAGGAACTTTGACTGCCAAATCGGGATTCTATTCTCATGATATACTACCCCTCTAAGAGAATCAAATGTGCTAACTAGGACAGAATGTCAAACGAGATCAGAGCATGATAGTCGCTAAAATTCCATGCTTCTCACGCATAACAGAGTGACAATGAAATAAAATACATTAGGAACCCGTATCTAACTGTAACTGGTATTGAATTTTAGTAGTCTTTGTTTCAGTTACACACAAGAGCAGAGTTAATGATAATGGCTATTTTAGTAAGAGAATCAAATTTAAACAGCTGCAAGCCATAATTGCTTCTAACACTAAACAAATTCAGGTGCACACGAATGTGTGGCTGTGTTCATGTACGTGCTTAACTACTACAAGGTCGATACTAAAGAAATCAGTATTAATCAAGAGGTCATATAAATTTTTTTAACAACATGATTTGGCTCAACATAGATCAAACAAAGATTTCTAGATAAAAATCAAATCAATCCTAATTGCAATAAATATTATGAACATGTACGGAAGATGATGAATTTTTATGACCTATCAGAAAGCTCTTGTCAGTTTATCCTAAAGGGAAATGCAAAGTTGAGAACAGAAAGCCTAGTCAAACACTGTAAAGTTTCTTGACATAAGAGAATACCACTACATAACTTAAAATGTAGAAAAATAAGGTGAAATTGTTACTGGACCATGGTATAAAGCATGCCTGTTGCTTGAAAATGCTAAGCTTACTGCTGGCATATCTAGGTGACAGCACGCATGTGACGGAAGAGTGCTTGAAAAACTTCCTGGTTTCTTCATCATGGGTTTGCATAACTCCCGTCTGCAAACACAACCAACCAGATCAGGATTCAAAGAATCTAACTCGAACAAAGCAGCTAAAACCCTTTTTAAACTGGCTCCAGAAAAGAGCTGCAGCTATAAACGGTCGGAATCATTGAACCACAGCTCACTTTCAATCAATATTGACAGTAAACGAACACTTTAACGTTGCTTGCAACAATTTTAATAGTAATTAGAACATTAAAATTTAAAACACTGTCCCTGTGAAACAACTTGTGCATCAAGTTACATATGCACGTGAAGTCTTGAACAAAGCCAAAACCAGTCCTTGAAGAAATATCAAGAAAAAATTAGAATATAAATAGTTACAAGCACCATGATGGAAATTTCAGCAAAGAATAAAACTACTCTTAACAGAAATCAATATATTCAATCTTTGGAAAGACTCTGAACAAGTACTTTGTTGACAATCTTTAGAAAAACTGATTAAAGAAGCATCATTCATTGAATTTGAAGCGTCACTAAAATTACCAAAAGAAAAAGTGAAAGATTTCACATGACATACCGTATTGATAAAAAATCTGCTGTGAGAAGTCTTATCGTCCCAAACGAGCAACAGAACTCGCACTCCTTCTTGAGACTTGTACTTGAGCAACTCCCCCAAATTCAAATTCCCACCACTAGGCAATGGCCTGGTCGGCTCTCTCACCAGCTTCACCTTGTGGTAAATTGACCAACCGACGATGTAAACCAAATGGTGAGCCTCCAGAATCGCATGGCATATATCCTCCCAACACTTCTCGTGTTGAAACGAATTTTCCTTTTCCAATTCAATCTTCTCCAACATTGAATCGGGAACGTGAGCGTCCTGATACAGAGTCACCGACCCGCCTTTCCTCACCGGAAAATAGCAATTTCCGATCCCGTAACGATCCGGATCCGTCGATATTCCGAATCGGTACACGGGATTGTCTTCGCATCTGGTGAACCTCATTTCGAGCCTAATTGCGGTGTCGGGCTTCGGCGGCTTCCCGAACGATCCGATCACCGGGAACCAATCGCTGATGCACTCGCCTGTGACGATTCTCTGAGCGGAGACTGACGCGACTCCGATCAAGTCGGCGCCGAACATGTCGTTGTCCTTGATGATGAACTCGACGTGAGAGACGGGGTGAGCCAGGGGAATCTTGAAGTGCTCGTTCCAAATCGGGTTCTGCGAGTTGGAGATGACTCGCGTGTGAGCCACCCGAGCTCCGGCGAGGCAGACCGAGACGTAAGGGTCACTCGTGATTATCTTCCGGTGGGCCTTGTGCTTGTTTTTGTGGTGGCTGTGCGTGAACGGCGCGTGGCACGTCTTGAAGGCGGTGAAGAACCGGCGGAGACGCTCCGACACCAAATCCATGTTCGGCAAGCACCGCGCCTCGATGATCTTCAGATCGAGGTCGCCATGGAGGTACACCACGGTCTCCGAGTTGTCTTCCGCCATTGGAGCTCAAAAACTAGGGTTTCCTATCTCCTTTCCAAAAAAAAAATCCCAGAGAAAACGATAACACCGGAGCTGAATAGATAATAGTGCGAAAAGATCGGTGATAATACGAATGTCGATAAAGATGGCCTTGGTCGTCACCGGAGGAGCCAAAAACGGTGCGTTTCGTGTGATTTTGCGGTCACATGAAGAACGCGAATTGGTCGGGTTCGTTCTCCGATGGAGCAAACGGCGAAAACAGAAGGCGGCGAGAGAAGGTGGGAAATGGGTGGTTAAAATATTGGTGGGAAATGACGCTCTCTATTTCTTGCATGCTATATAACGGTGGAACACGTGGAGGCTAATAGATTTGTCATTTTATACGTGATTCCTGACTTTAATTAATTTTTTTCCTTGTTTTGCTAATGACCCAAGTTTAATTTAATTATTAATAACCGTTTCTGATTCTCTTTTGGAAAGTCCATTTCGTTTTGTTTTTGTTTTTTTGCTTCTTGTTTTTTTTGTTGTTTTTGTTTCTTTCTTTTTTCTTTTTTTTTTGTTTCTTTTTTTTTGGTTTTTGGGAAGATGAAAGCCCCTTTTTGTAAAAGTGATTTGGTACAGTTTGTTTAGCCAATTGGTGGTCCTAACTCCTAATTGACGCCACACATATCGTCAAATACTATCCTTTACTTGTATTTATTGTTACATTCGATTGAAAGAGATTATATAATTAAAGATGATAAAAAGTACTAAAATGTTCATTTTCTAGCCGATGCCTAAAAAATAAAGAAAGGCGGGCATGCAATTATGGCAAAGAACAATTGGTCATTTTAACGCGTTCTCACAATTAATTGTTGTCCTGACTACATTGTTTCTTTAAAGCTAAGAGACTTTCATTCAACCAAAGACAGCAAGATCAATTAACAGATTTTCTTTATTCATTTAATTATAACGAAATAACAAGGATATTGTTTTTTTTTTTTTTGAAATTTTCTAAAATTGACCCTTAAAATTCAATATCAAAACAATATTGTCCCATTTGCTTAAATTGTCTTAAGTTAATTTATTTTAATAAAAAGACAGTTATGCTTAAAGAATTCAACAATAAAAATAGCCCTATCTCAAAGGATGTTTTGAAAAAAAATTTCCTTCCCTCATGTCGTAATTTTGACGAGATTTGTCTTTTTTTTTTTCTTTTGTTGCTTTGGAGACGAGATTGTCTAATAAGACGTCATGATGAGTTTTAGGTTTCGTTTATTTTACCGATTCGAGTTTAAAATTTGAGTTTTGTTACAGTAAAAAGCTCACAGAAACAGTCACATCTAACTTTTTTATATAAAATTCTCATATAAAGTCACATCTCAACTCAAATTAAAAACTCAAATCAGTTATCTAAATAAACGTTAGCCAGGTGTATGCCGTGTGAATGAGTGATTGCAAATGTTTCAGTTACTATTATGTTTCTGAAATTCTGAGTGGAGACCTACCCACGATTATTAATTAAATTAAAAAGAAAATGTTTGGAATAGAGATGAGGCAGTGTGTTAGCACGAGATATCAGTGATCGATCGCATTCATCCTTTGACGAACGTTGTCTGCTCCCATCTTTGGTTGGTCCACAAACTAATGGTCTCCGATAAAACAAAAAGTAGGAAAAGTCAAAGTCGGCTATTCGACCCATCTACATTTTTTAGCGAAAACAAAAAAAGAGTATTGGCTGTTCGACCCGTATGAGGTTGTTTATATATAGTTACATCACACATCCTGGATCAAGTAAAGACTCTGGGGTTCCGGCAAGCCACTGCTACATCCATTTCATTAGGAATTGATGATCTTTTAACAATACCTTCTAAGGGATGGCTAGTCCAAGATGCTGAACAACAAAGGTTAATTTTGGAAAAATACCATCATTATGGAAATGTACGCGCGGTAGAAAAATTACGACAATCTATTGAGATATGGTATGCTACAAGTGAATATTTGCGACAAGAAATGAATCCTACCACAATCTGTTCTCCGTACAACAATGTGTTGAACTACTTCAACAAGTCTGCGTGTAAGATATCCAGCATCCGATGTGCAGTATCCACAACTCCTTTGCGGGCTCCATAACAAGAAATGATATGTTCTGTTAAAGACAGTCCCTCACGTAAATTGCTTTGAATAGGTAAATCAATCATTTGTCTTTGTGGGTCGGACATTAATCCTCTCATACCTACTAATTGGTGTACTTGAGATGCATTTCCTCTAGCTCCCGAAAAGGACATCATATGGACTGGATTAAATTAAGATGTTACGTACAGGTTGTGTCAATCCTAAATCCCTTAAAAAAAAAAAAAAAAAAAGAGTAAAAATTTCCCTAACGTTTAAATGTCAAAACGGACAGATCATTCGTTAATATTTTTATCAACAATTTTATTTTTCTTGCGTAGATTTCGCCTTACTTTTTGGTGGAAAGTGGAGACGTGCAATTGGCATATATTATTTACTAATGATTCTTAAGATCTGCATTTAAAAGGGCAAAAAAAAAAAGAAACTAGATCTGATATTATACATCAGATACGGTTGGCAAAGTCTTATGTTACAGACTTTAAGGAAAAGTTAAGACGACAGGAATAAAAACTAAATAAATTACATATATTACATATTTCTAGCCTCCTCACTTAATCACCTCACGGACTAACATCTTGCTTTAACTTAAAACATAATAATAATAATAATTAAAACAAAAAAAGGAGGAGGGGCATTTTCTGATGTATTTAATAACACGTTGATGGAGCTCCAGTGTTGATGTTTCTTTACCGCGCACTAAGGCAACTCTGGAGAAGTACTTGCAGTAGGACCAGCTACAAAACTAAGCCATTTGACGTGCTACAAAACTAGGGCTCCACGTGATTGCAGTTGCTGATTCTATGATTTGAGATAGCAGGTGCCGCCCTTATCATCACACTCTGAATGAAGGCTATCATCTACACATATAAAGTTCATTTGAATCTGAAACCTGAGCTAAACAGAAAATTTTGTACTGATAAAGTAACATATTATACAGAGACAGATTATTAGAAGATAATCAAATTGCAAAGTGAAGAGATCTATGTATGATAAATCATCTGTGGCTAAACTCTAAAAGAAAATTGTTATTAATTACCGTAGATGATGCAATTACCATATATGTGGTAAAATATTAAAACTACCGTATAATAAAATGGGACTCAGTTCTTTTATTTTCCGTAATATACACCGTGGTGATGCATCGGGAATATTAGTGCTCACCCTAAAGACGTTGCATAATTTTTGGCATTAACAGACTAACAGTTACTAATACTGACATATTGAGTCAGAACTTGTAATTGAATGACCATAAAGATTGCCATGACTGTTCAATGTTGATATGGCGACCCCTTCACGCACACTCAAAGAAAGAGTGCAGGTACTGAGACTGAAACATCTTTAATATCAAAAGTAGAAAATCTTACCGATGAAAATCCAATGCACATGATACTAAAACCAGGGAAATCAAACGGTGCCTTGTCAGAGAGGAATAGAGCTGAAACAACAACTTATCTGTATTAGTTTTAAAATTGACATTTACTATACCAAATAAAGCTTCAAATTGGATTTCCAAGTACCTGTTAGAGGAGAGAAAGCCAATGGAGAAATTACATTTGCTAATGAACCTATGCCTGAAATGCACCCTTGAGCCTTCCCCTGAAGCAAAATTAGTATATAAATAGTGAGGTAAGTCAAAGACTGCAGAATAATTCTGCAAGGGCATAACAAATTGACGTATGCTTGAACCAAGATACGCAATACCCTGCCTCATGGTAACCTTTATTCTAAAACAACGCTAAAGAGCACTAGTAGTATTGAGCATCACACACTAATAGAATATGTGTCTTATAAACTTACGGATGAAGCCCGCCTTCTCTTAGTTGTGCTGATTAGAGCCCAAGCATTTTTTTCCCCTTACAGGCAGTGTTTATTATAATCAACATAACTACTAGTCAAAAAGAAGAAAACTACCTGCTCATGGGAACCCACTTGTTTGGACACAATACTCCGCATCTGCATATCTCAAAGAAGAACCACTTAAGCTTCTGAAGGCTAGTAAGAATTAAACATCTTAAAATGGTTTAGAAACTCACACATGGTTGTACGAACACAGAAAATATGGAAAACATAGCAGCTGCGTAAGGAACCTGCAAGTGTTGAAAATGTTGGCATATTAAGAGACCATAAAGTGGCAAACACGTACTAGAAAGTAGAAACAACTGAGAAAATTGGCAAAACAGGATTGAAAAACTTGTGATTGGAAGATAAGTCTTAAAGAATTACCCAGAAGGACCATGCAAGGCTATAAACGAACGTCTGCATTCATACAAAAACGATATAAGAACTTATAAATATTGTTTATTTAAGTTATATTACCAAAAATGATATAATATAAACGTAAAGATATTTTTTTTAGTATCTCAAATCAATGTGTTCAGAAAGAGGTAATTAAAAAGAGAGGTACTTACATGTGCACAGCTAAAAAGGAGCCCTACTGAAAGCAACCTCTCCTCTCCTAGAAGAGGAGCTAATATGGGCATGAGAATGAACTGCGTACAACAAAATTTGCAGATTTATAGAGAGACGGATTGCAGCTAGAATAAAAACATTTATGAAAATAAATCAAAGTTCGTGAATTCTATTTTAAAAAAAAAAAAAAAAATTTAGTGAAGACGACGAGTAATGAAATACCTGCGAGATAGTCCCTGCGATCCCAGAAATCACCATTAGATCAGCAAATTGATCCTTGTTAAAGTGAAACTCAGCCTTTAAGTAGTACTGCAAGATAAATTTGGGTTTCATGAGCCAGTAGTTCTCTTTTATGTGGTCAAAGAGTACACATTTAAAATTTCCTACTATTCATTAGGACAAATTCTAGTTGACCCAAATTAAGCCTAGGTTGATGAGATGCCATAGCTAAAATCTTTAAATTAATCTTTCAAATATATGTAAAGTTTGTAGACATGAGATAACTGTATTACTTAGCACGAAAAAAGAAAATAGAAAAGTATTTTTGCAATACACGAGATTAATTGATGAAGTACCATCATTGAAGAATGAAGACCCACGTCCGCCAAATTGCTGAAAAATGCAACAACCGCAGCTTTCGAAAATGTCGGACTGCAAAATTGAGAAAATAATGCATTTTTTAACCTATCCTAAATTCTAACAACATGAAATTCTCTTGCAAATTTTGAGAAAAAAAAAAAAAAAAAAAAAAAACCCCAAACTTTGAAAATCCGCCGGAAAAACTTCACTAACCTGGTGTTCAACAACGCGACCATATCATCGGCCGAAGGCATCGATTTGAAGAGATTCTCTTTCTTACTTGAATCTTTGACCAATTCCTTAGCATTCGGCTTTTCCGTCGACATGATTGGAACCGAAAGATTGTCATCAATGACCGAATCTGGCAGGAAAACCCTCATATACACCAACGAAACCACCGCAAGCGATGCCGCAACCTGAAATTAGCAAAGAATAAGCCAACCTGATGAAGATCAAATGCGATTTTGATGTGCGATCTGGAAGAGAGAGAAGAATACCTGGAAAGTGGAGGCAGTGGAGAGGAAACGGGCCGTTAGGGTTCCGCAGACGAAACCGCACGAGCTAATTCCCGACAGGATTCCGAACGCTGAGGCTCGTCGAGCTTCGGGAACATTATCAGCCTGTACAATTTCGAAGCACAATTCAATTTCATCGTCATCGCTGTGAAGCTTTCGCGGGAAGAAAGGCTGTGACTGGCATGATGGTTTCAACTTTCTTATTCGACGCGGGTGTGGTGTGGAGGAAAAGGGAGAAAATGTGACCGTTGGTTTGGTGACGTGTAGCCCAAATAAATGCCATAAAGGCTGAAACTATTAATATAAACAGCCCAAGCCCAAAGAAAACAGTATCAATGGACAGCTTCATGGGTCAGTTCTAGTAAATTTGGGCCTATAAACTAAAGGCCCCAAGCCCATGTGACTCAGACGTCCTTTTTAGGTGTGTTAGCAATATAGCACAATCTTAAAAATACGCAAAAAGAAAATTTATACTACTTTGCAAATAGTAAAAATCAAATGATTATAATAACTATTAGGTAATTGTATAGCATAAAACATGAGAACATTATAAATTATAATAATTAATACGTAAAACATGTCATCCGGTGTAATTTTACCCCTTTTCTTTGGCTAATGAGTGAACGAAACGCTGAAATTGGAAGCATTTCATGTTAAGTTAAAGGGCGGAATCTTAGGCTTCGTTCATTCTACTGATTTAAATTTTTAATTTCAGTTTTATTATAGATAAAAGCTCTCACAAAAAGTTATTTTTTAACTTTTTCTGCTATAGTTAAAAGCTCTCACATAAAATCATATATAAACTCGAATTAAAAACTCGAATCAGCGCCTTATTTTACCAAAAAATAAAGAAGTAAAATTTTACCACATAGGCGAGAGCAAGACAGTGAACGCTGCCGTCAGAAATCATTGCAAAAAGAGTCTTGAAGGCGTAGTAGGCGTAGATGAAATTTCTTGTCCTGCTACACGCTAATATGCCTGTCACCAATTTACTTTTTTGCTATTATTATGATCATTTTGGGACAATTTATAAGATGATTCATTAGTAAAACAGGCAGATCCACCATCCATCATCCAAGCACTTCTTACAAGAATAAAATATGAAAACAAAACAATATCCAATCGCTTGTACCGATTTTACTTAGTTATTTATTTTCGCATTCACCTGAAGGGTAAAGACCTAGATTAAACTTAGGCAACATGCCTTGAACTATGAAGAACCGGTCCTACTATGATGTCCAAGTCTCGTGTTAAGAAGTTCCTTTTCTAAAGAAAGGACAAAACAAAAAACAAAAAAACAAAAAAGCGAGGGACAATAATATAGATCAAACAATCTACATTTGTCAACATTGGAAATTGGAATCGTCACTTTAAAAAAAAAAAAAAAATCGTACGTTGTCAACGTTGGAATCATCACTTTAAAGTGTTGCTTATAATTCTTGGTTTCTTTTTTTCTAATGGCATCCATAAATGGGTTGTTTGTAGACTTGTATCATTCTTCGGCCGCTACTGAGAGGACGTACACAAGAAAGCTACATACGTGGAGATGGACCGGCTAATTATCGAAAAGCCTTTCACAAAAGTCATACACAAAATTTAACGGAATCAAAGTGGGGAATCAAAAGCACCAGCTAGCCTCCCTGTAGTATACTTAGGAAATAAGAACGACAAAAGAAAAAATAAAAGAAATAAAGGTACAATGGTTGTTGTTTGAATGCTTTTATTTCCAATCTGCTATATAATGTGTGTATTGATAAAAAAAGAGTTGCCGTGAGATTCTTTAAAAAAAATAAATAAATAATGTCAATTAAGTAGATGACAAACCGAAAAATGTTTGATATATAGTAGGCCCTACTCATAACAAACAATAACTAAACCAAGAATTATATGCAATTAAATTGTCATTAAGATAAGTGATGTTCACAGCGACGTTTCTAAATATGTACAAGTGTACTGATAAATTCATTGGGTTCGCAAGTTTATACAAAAAGTTTGAATAGAAATTTAAAATTTATGAGAAAAAATATAAGAAAAAATTTAAATAGTGATTCGAACTTATAGACTAAACAGAGTTATTTTGTATAATCACAGTTATTTTGACTTTGGTTGAGCAGTCTCATTAAGTATGCTTATCTATGCCTAAATTTAGAGTATCAAAACGAGTCATGATTGATGAGGAAAAATATTTTTAAAGAGATCGGATATTGCATACCCAAGGGAATAATGGTAAAAGCCATTGGCATTGTGAGCAAAGATTTCCTTCCATATTTGTCAGAGAGTTTCCCTACGATAGGCATCATCACGAGTGTTCCTAGCCCTATGATCTGCACGGATATGAGATTAATAACACATCAGAAAATGATCATCAATAAGTTACGATAAGTTTAAATCCTTTGCATATTTGATGTGAATTAACATGAACGAGGACCAAATTAAGGATGGAATTTCAGTAATAATTTCAAATGTGAAACGAAATAATATTTACATTAACAAGCATACATCGCATCATTGTGTAGCGACTAGGATGACTAAGCATGCACAAAAGCATTTTCTATATGGGTCCAGTTTGCATTTTGCCCACAAAGTATGTCATTAAAAAAGAAAAAAGGAAAAAATAAAACGGTCGAACAATTATTTTCTTTGGGAAAGAGATTCTAAAGTGACAACTTTATTTTATTTTATTTTATTTCATTTTATTTTATCTTTGTGACTTCTTATTATTTAATGCTGGTTTTGTTTCCAAATTGAGATTACTTGATCTAATATTTATCTTTAATCCTCATCACATAAAGGGTCATTCACTTTTTTATCTTCCGGAAGAGGAAAACTAAAATAAGTAAATGAAAAGTATATATATCTGTACGTGGTGCTAAAAAAATTGAGACATATATACAATTATGGCAATCTCATAATTCAACTGGAGCATAGCAGCTGATCTAAATTAGCTAACCATTGAAACCAGCTGATTTAACTAAATTAAAGAGATTTCAAAATCGGATTCATCAATATAATTGAAAAGAAAAGAAAAGTCTAGGAACCTATATAATGCATCGGAGAAGATTGAAGAAAGTACATTAGTTATGGATTATTTGTTTATTTAATTTTAGAAAGGCTACCAATATGCACAAAGAAATACCGACTGTTGAATTCCGGTAAGGAAAACGGCCAAAGAGCATTGATCCTTTCCCGGACAAAGCGCGGAAATAATGACGTCAGCGATGGCCGGAATCGCCATGAATGTAGAAAAATTATACAGAAAGATTGTCACAAATAACCCCGGTAACTTTCCCATGACTATTCTTATTCTCAGATTTTACAAAGAAAAAGAAAACCAAGCGGAGTTAATTATATGATAAAAAAGCAAAAGCCAGTCCTTAAAATATGCAGAGAAGGTGGATCAAAGGAAGCGTTACATGTGATAGTTATGTGTATAGAAGATCATAACCGAAAAGGATTAGGCGTACTTTTTGGTTTTGCTTGCGTAGTTACACTAGGAATCTGTTTTTGGATTTTATTGCAATAATGATATATATGCTAATACTATACGTTTCTGATAGGAGAAGGAAAATCTGTTTGATTTCATTAATGAAATTAATTCCACAAAGAGCATGGACGCTTGGCAGTACTATTTGTAGACCTCCTATATATTCTGGCTCTTGATACTACCAAATCGCAAAATACTTTTATGAGTATATGACAAGTGTAGAGTGACGCCGCAACAATGACGCAGTTTGTTTTTTTTTTTTTTTTTTTTCTCAACTCTTTTAATTTTACTCTTTCTACGTTTTCCATTTTTTTCTCCGTTGATCTTATGGGTAATAAGAGATTAAAGAAGCTTAAGCGTTTGGTACACACAAAAAAAATAATAAATAAAGGGGGGCAATTGGATCATTGCTCTTAGAGAAAATTACATATTTTATCTTCTTAATACCTGAATTATTAAAATTGCCCTTTTAAAAAAGTCTACCATTAATTAGTTCTAATCTCATAAAGTAAAAATATATGTATATATATGTTAATATTAAGAGGTAAAAATAAAAATAAATAAAAAAAACTCCATTTCAAGAGTTATTTTTAAAAATGACCCTTACTTGCAGGTCCAGGTATGGGCTGAATGCCTCTTGCCCGTTTTATGTTGAGCCATTATCAACCAGACCAGCCTATAAACTCGTACTTGGGGTTGGGTCCACCGGAAAATTGGTGGTCAAACTTGACCTTTACCCTACCAACCGGGAAATTTCCGTAATTTAACATGAATTTTTTATAAGGTTTTCTTTGTGTCGTGTAAAGGAATTTATGATGAGGTTTGTAAGTCTCTCATTTTATTTTTATTTTCTTGTCTCCTAGTCCTCGAATATTTATATTTGAAGTATCAAACGACACGCGTACTCAAGTACTTATAAAAAGATTAGGGTTAAGAATAGAAACAACCATCATTAAATCATTTATTAAACATTTAATGTCATTTTGTAATATTCAAAACGATTAGAAGGAACCCATTTGTAGTTCACGTTCAGTGGGGCAAGCGACTACAGTGGAAATGTACGCAGACAAAAAGACACATAGTTCATCATGGGATTAAAGAGAGAAAAAAAAAAAAAAAAAAGGACAGTGTGGAATTTAGTGAAATTTTAGAAGGCGCGAAGAAAGACACTAATTTTGTGTAGTAGTAAAAAAGTGAGTAAACAAAATAAGACTGTGGCCCCTTTGGCGTGTTAGTAATTTTAATTTTGTCCCCATCACTTGAAAATGAGAAAACACCCTGAAAACGTTGCCCGTGTTTGTGAAACAGAAGGAAACTTCGTAATTGTACAAAAGAGAAAGTTGAGAAGATTTGTAAATGAGAATGCAAAAGATGTATTTAGCTATTGTTTCTCCCCTTAATAAATATGACCCAAATTATCTGTTTAATTTTGATGTCTTAATTAGTGTTTAACAAATTATGTTATGTCACGTCATATAAAAATTTAAACTGTTTTTTAACTAACTCTTTTGTAATTATTATGGAATGATTTGGTATAATTTCATTAGTTAGACACTAATAAAGATATTAAAAATTAGAGAAAAAATCTGACTCCCAATAAATAACACTTGTAAAGCCACTTCGATAAACGGTCAATTTTTATGTGGCTGGACATTCGCTTTACGTCTAAGGACAAAGGAAGCAAGTAACTTTCACCTAAGCTTGAAGCAACAACAACTAAATAGAAGCCACTGGAAATGGAACAAAATTCAAACATGAACAGAACGCTGCTTTGTTCTAAAATGTTAGTGGAAGTGGGCTACAATACAAAACATGACGATATAGGCTTCTATTACACCACAATATTAAAATTCACAAAAAAAAAAAAAAAAGAAAGAAAAAAACATGCGGAACAGATATCAATGCAGATTTTAACTTATTTTGAGAAGTTTGATTTCGTAGCATTTAAAGTAATGCTGTACTTTTGCTATAATTGAAGGTAGTGCTTATGTTAAAATTTGAAGATCGCTACAAAATTTGAAGATATTCTTAAAAAAACAAAAAAAAAACAATTAAGCGTGAGTTACAAGCAAGAAGAAGATTCAGCTATTTTTTTTTTTTATTTGTCTAACAATAAACGTGCAAGTACATACAATATTAAAATTTCTAAATGGAATCGACATTATGCATTCTCAAAAAAATAATATTATTGGTCGAATATTTACCCCCATTAAAGAAGAAGAAAAGGAAAAGAAATATGAACAAAAGAATATTTACAGAGCATGTATATAGCACCCCAAAAGAAAAACAGAGCATGTATATAGCACCACAAAAGGAAAACAGAGCACGTATATAGCACTACAATTTACATGGAAAAGGAAAACTCCCCAAAAGGACTCTATATGCATGATTTTCAATAGAAAAGGGGCAGTGTAATGTGTGTGCGTGTGTATTCATCAAGCTCTTACTACTTCATTTTCTTTTTCTTTTTCTTTTTCTTTTTTTTTGGCTCATTATTAAGCTCTTACTCGTTGTTTGTAAGATGGAAGAATATTATTGCATGGCAAAATACACACACACACATAATATATATATATATATATATATATATATGAGAAACAGAAGTTAGTAGAGAGGTGTTTAGGTTGCAGAATTACCACTTGTTGAAAGCCAGTGAGGTATATAGCAAGTGAGCATTCATCTTTTCCGGGACAAAGCGCAGACATAGTCACGTCGGTGATTGCCGGAACCACCATGAACGTCGAGTAGGTGTGGAGGAATATCGACATGAAAAGGTGTCCCAGCCCATACAACTTCCGTTCCATTTCTGATATATTATCTCTCTCTCTCTCTCTCTCTCTCTCTCTCTCGCTCTCTCTCTACTCCTAATCAACCAAGAAGCAGCTAAAAAATGAGAAACTGCACCTTCCACCCCAATGCTCTACTCTTATAACTACATATAAGGAGCACTTTCGACACATGCATAAGGACCTCATTTTAAAAGCACTAAAAGCGTCACTTTTATAATAATTTTTCTTTAAAATATGTTTCAGTACTCTTTTAGTTCTGTCTGTTTCAATTTTCAACTTCACTGTGTGGCAAAAGATAAATTACTGCGAGCGGCCACTCTACAATAGAGAAAGACTGGCCAATCATAGGCCTACAATTTATTTGGAAATGAAAAAGTCGATTAAGCCCTTCTTTTTTCTTTTTTCTTTTTTCTTTTATTCTTTTTCCGTTTTGTTGCTCGTTAGTTAGGGATTCTTCAGTTGTATTTTTGAGTTATGATGATTTAAGTATAAATTTTGAGTTAAATTTAAGTTATAATTTGAGTTAAAGTTATAATTTAAGTTTGTGTTTGATTGTGTACATTTGAGTTATGATTTGAGATGTAAATCTTTTTGAGTTTGTGTTTAAGTGGGTCAAAATTTGAGTTTGTATTTAGATAGTATTTTAATAAAAATTCAATGATGATAGAAAATTTTAATAGGGTATATGGGTGGAGTTTTCTTCATCTCTTCGTTGTGAACGCATAAAAAAATCATCTCAATCGGAATTAAAATGAAAAAGTTATAGTATTTTTAAGAATATAAAAAATATTGTTTATTAACTTAAGTTTTAGTTTAGGAACTTGAGTTGAATGAAAAGTTTGAACTCATATTTTAATCCTACAAAATAACATGAACTTAAATAAAATTATAATTTAAATTTAAATTTTTTTTGAGTTTAAATACAAACGAACAAGCCCTTAGATCGGTCAAATCTCACATTAGTCCTTAGGCTTTTTTTATTTTTTTATTTTTTTATTTTTTAAGTGCCGAAAAGTGAAGAAAGTGGGATTGTGAAGCTATGATGCGTGGCTTGCAAGTTCATGCAAAAGCCTAAGAAGATGGAGAAACCCCCCGCAACTTTAATTTGTGGATCGCTTGCACAATGTAATTACGTTTTGACGCGTGCAAGTTTTGATAATTGGCGTGACATTCTCCCTTGATCCAATTACTCTCCGTCAAGACTCTTGGTCATCCAATCAAAAGAAAAAAAAAATACTATAGTCAGAAATAGAACCTTCCCACACAAAAAAAAAAAATCCCCTCTTTCTGTTAGATTTATGCAATAGTAAATGTGGTTTTATTAGCATAAAATAGATTTTAAATCGATAAAGATCAAACAACCTACAACTTCTGAATTTCTCTCTCGTCTTTGCAATATTTTTCGTTTTTGCTTCTTTCTTGGGTCTAAAAATCTTCACTAGCATACTTGCCATGAAACTGCAAATTAGTTTGTGCGTGTTTTCTCTAAATGATACTGTGTAAATTAATTTGAGAGCCGAAGTGAATGGCTAATATATAGTCTACAGACTACAACGCCGTAGGCACATAACACTTTTTTTTTTCTTCCCTTTAATAAGGAATAGACCTATATGTTGATGGTGGAATTTCGTTAACAAAACTTTACCGGATTACCCCATAATAGTCCGTTGAGTTACTGGTTTAGAACTTATGAAACCACTTATGATTTCACTGAATTTACTTCACAATACTATTTACTTCACTGAATTTACAACACTATAGCACTTGAGTTTTCCATATCAGGATCAAAATTTACTATTTAGTATAGACGTTGCACTTACGGTGCCACTTTTAGGTAAGTTACAACAAATCTATTCTGTTTTCTTTCATTTTCATTTTCGCGAAGTACGTTCTACATTTTGATTTTTGACGCATTTGTTACTCTGTTCCTAAGAATCGGTTGAAGAATAGTTCTAAAATTTGAAATTTATCATACTCAATGGAAGAGATACTGGATGGTGAGAATTTGGAGAAAGTTAAGTTCTGAAGGACATTCTTTAGCTCTCATAAACTCGGAGCTGTAAGCACAAAACAGGGTGTGGATTTATTTTCAGTGTGCGAAAACGTTATTACAATTTATAATGTTCGTTGACGAATATAACCTTTATTGAAAGCGTACTCTGTAGTTTTTCATACTAGTTTGCTTGAAAAGAGATGGTCATCCATTATTTGAAGGGAGTATTTCCTTTGGCTCATTAGATAGAAATAGAACATTTTGGAAGGATTCAAAAAAGCCAAATAATTAACAAAAACAAAAAACTATTTTACATGAAAACAGCTATAAAAATAAGCAATAAAATATTGAAAAATAATTATCATTCATTGTACAACTCTTTATCTCACTACAAAATAACTTGAATGTAATTTCCATCCTTCACATTCTGAATCAAAATGCACGTATCTACTCTTTTCTACTGTCTCCTTCCTAACTGATAGTTTCAGCCCAATTTGTATTTCCATGTTTTGTTTTGGATTTGGGCCATAATTCCAAGTTATTTTTTGTTGGAAGTAATTATAAACTGCCTAATTTTGAATTATATTTATAAAAATATAGACTATTATACAACATTACAAGAATGCCGATTCGATTTTTTTAAGGCAAATTGTTTTCCGGTTTTGCCCTTATTAGGTATTTTAGGCATGTTTTTTATTTGGTTAGTTGTTATTTTTTTTAGTTTGATTTTTCCTGATGATAATTTACATTTTTTCTTTTCCTTTTTTACTCTCTAATTGATCTTTTTAATCAATCATTATGATTTTATGCTGATTTTTTTTTTTTACGGTTATTGTTTTCTCTCTCTCTCTCTCCTTTTTTTTTTTTTTTTTAACTCACTCGTGTGTGCTCTTTCTTCATGTTTTTTCATTGATAGCATTCGTAGCGCTGCAAGGAGGATACCCGAACAAAAGAAGCAGAAGCTATAAATGCAATCATCAAGATCATTTAAGGACGTAAAAAATTCTGCATCAGCCTCTATTATGCGCACATGGATACTCTCTAGATAAAAGATCACGGGTTTTTATGTTGGCGTCATTTGTAAATTCATCGGAGTTCGGGTATAATTACGTTTTGTGTTCTTTTTTTTTTCTCCGAGTGAGTCAAATTTCATATTCATTCGTGTACGTAATTCTTAGGTCATTTGATTGATGAAATAATTGAAAGATGTGTTCATGTTTTCGAGACGTTCACAGATTTTTTTTTTTTTTTTTTTTTTTTTAAAACGTTTTTTAAAGTTTTTTTTTTTTTTTTTTACAACGTGTTTTAAAGCTGTTTTTTGTTTCTTAGTGTTTTGTTCTAATGAAAAGAGTTTTTTTTTTTCTTTCTATTATATATTTTGTTTCATAATAGATTGTTATACATTCTTTTTCATAATGATTTCATCTTATAAATAATGAATTTATTTATTCTTTGTATCTTATATATTTTCGTGTTTTATATGTAATTTAATATTCAATATTCATTTTCATAATAATGACTGCTTTTAAGTTTTTATTGTTTCTTTTTATCATATATTCTATTTTATAACGGATTGTTATACATTCTTTTTTATAATGATTTCATCTGGTAAATAATAAAATTATCTACTCTTTGTATCTTATGTATTCCCGTGTTTCATATGTAATTTAATACTCAATATTCATTTTCATAATGATGACAATTTTTAAGTTTTTTGTTGTTTCTTTTTATCATATATTTTATTTCATAATGGATTGTTATTTTTTTTTTCTTAATGATTTCATCACGCAAATAATAAAATTATTTATTTTTTGTATCTTATATATTCTCATGTTTCATATGTAATTTAATATTCGATGTCCATTTTCATAATGATGAATGTTTTTTATTTAGCAGAGTTTGTATTTTTCATAAGAATTTTAGGGATGGTTTTGAGCAAATGTCGTGGGTTGTTTCTTCCCCCCGTTTTTTTTTCGAAAAAAAAAAAGCAGCATCTGTTTCGGGAGTTTACTTTTTTCATTAAAGAAATTTCCTTTTGTTTAAAAGGATCAAATTTTCTTTAAATGTTGATTGCGCCTAATGTTGACTTTTGTTTTATTTTCTGATTTTGCTATATTTGTGTCCATATTATTACCTATTAAGTTCTTTAATCATTTTTTCCTTTTATTCATTATATGAGGATATAATTGTCTTTATATATGATAGTAGATATTTTTTTTTATAAACATATAAAAAAGTAGGCATTTTTGAAAACAAGATACTCATAAATGCAAATAGCCCTCTCTTCTCTTCACACAGTCACAGCAGGAACGTCCGAGACCAACTAATATTTTTTTAGACAAATAATAATAATAATAATAATAATAACCAACTAATATTGGATTTTCACACATCAAACAAACAGCTCGATAATGCATGAAAAGTAACTCGTTGATCTATTTCTTTTTCATGTCCAGAACAAATACTTTGATTTACAAAAAATGCAGAACAAATAGAATCGGAAGGCAATCAAGATAACAGACCAATCAATCAGACCCAATTTTGAAATGGAAAAAAGAGACAAATACTCCTTAAATGTACGAGTCTTTCATCTCTTACTCTTAATTAATACTCTTTAGTTAAAAAATTATATTAGTCAAAAGAATCTTAATTAAGAGTGAAAAGTAAAAATCTTTGAACAATATGTTCAAAGTGTGACTTCACCCATTTTCTCGGCGGACAAAAGAAAATTGAACTGAAATTGTGAAAGCCGACAAGTCAAGCCCAGTTTCAAATCGGTTACTCTAGTACAGTAAAACTTCTATAAATAAATATTGTTGGGACTAAAAAAAATTATTATTTTAAAGAGATTATTTATTTATCAGTAAATAAATAATTTATTAATTTATGAAAACTTTTATATTTTAATTACTTTTGTACATGTACTTTTTCTTTTACCAAGATTCATGCGAGCTATATATAACAAAGATAATGGTATGTCGCCAAAAATTAATATGTGTACATAGAGAATTGCAAAAGTTATCATGTGCATATGGACAAAAATTTATGCAGTGATGGAATCACCCACTGATGAAGAGATTATTGAAGGGACAATGGATATGCCTGATGATGATCATAGTTGTAGCATTTTTCTTTTAAAATATAACTATTATAAAGATATGAATATCC